TCAATGACAGTGTTTTCTTGAAGTTTTTAGGATAGTACTAAATTCTTGAAATTTAATTCAGTGTTGTTTAGGTTTATGATTGTTTCTTTTTTCTTCAAAAGATGTATATAGGTGGCTGAGCTGTTTATTAGCCCTAGAATTGAATGGAGTTGGTTAGGCAGCACTGACACCTATGAAAAAAGTCGGTGTCAGTGTCGGACACCAGTACTAACATTTGTGATTACATTTAATTTATTCGTTTTTTCAAATTATTATTGGTGTCGCTGTGTTAGTGTGGGGTGTCTGTGCATCATAGGTTAGACATGGATTATAACGAAACTTGTGGCATGAAAATTGAGTAAGCTATCAGATTGGTTTCTTGATAAATTTATGCTCTTCTTGAGTGTTTTGCTCTCTGTAAATTGGAGAGTTACTTGGTATTTTACATTAGATAGAATTGATATTTATATTGAGAACTAGCGATGTTAAATTGTCACTTGTTTTGAGTGTACGAGAAGAGCTATATGGCATAGTGAACAAAGATTTTAGTTCATATCTGCCCAAATTTGTTTTATTACTATATGCCTATGTATTTTTACTTTGTTTCAATGTTGTTGAAAAGACAAACCACAACATTGTGGCGCTACATTGCTAGCACCGCTGAATTTAGACAAACCACAATTTTTCCATAATACACTATTTCGTACAAAGTGTTATCAGATTGCAGCTATTGTGGTGCTGTACCTGTTGAGTCTTATTTCATGTAATTCCTAGGTGCACTTGAAGGCAGAAAATAACTCATTTTATGTGAACCAAAGATATTTACATTAGACAATCATTTTATAAATTTCTATGCGTAGAAAATTCTTTAATGTAGTTACAGATTCATGCGCATATTAAGTATGAGTTTCGGATTGCAATTGCTGGTGGCAATCTAGAAGTGAGCAATTTTTTTAATGAATCTCCATTTTCAGAATGGTATTTAATATCACATATTGACCGATTAAAATCGTACGATTTTATGTTGTTTGGAGTGTTCTGCGATTCAGATCTCACAGAATCACTCTTTGGTCAAATCAGATGGGGTTTGCCTTCGATAATCACAAAAAAGTGTGCTGGTGTGTTTATTTCGGGTCGATTACATGAGGCAGTTATAAAACAACGCACCTGGGTAGAAAAGGAGCCGCCAATCCTCAAACTTTCTAGATCTGTGAATGAAAAACTACTTCTCGCCACAAAACCTTCGAATGCGTGACCGTCTTTTTGCCTTGCACCAGGAACCCGTCTGTGTTGTACGATGTTCTTCTGTATGCTGCCTTGCGACCAGAAGTCCAAAACCCTAATGTTGTGCACGGTCCTGCTGCTGTTATTCTTTACTTTGTTTCAAAAGAATATCTATTTCTCCGAAACCCCCTATTTGGGTGCCCGTGGTTTAGTTGTTTCTTTTTTATAAATCTTTCCTTTAGGCTGATTCATGATTTAGTGTGTTGTTTTGTTTCTTTGTCGATGGGGGAGTGTATTTGGGGTCCATTTCTTAGGTCGAACCAATTTATTTAATCTTAAAATTTAAGAAAAAAATTAAAGAAGAATGTAATAGAAGTACTTACTTATGCTGATAAATTGAATTTTTTTTGTCAAGTAGCATAGCGGTTGGAATTCACCTTTTAAAGGTGAACAAGTGGGATGTCCCTGCACAACTACCAACTTAGCTGGCTTAACGAGACTAAATTGAAGTTTAAATAAGCATTATAAGTGTGATTTAAATGATCTCTATGAATTTTGTAGAATCTTATAATTCTTGTTGCAAATCCAACTCCGTGTTAATGATTATATTTCCTCTTTAAGATTCCGAGTCAAATCTCGTTTTTAAATCTTTAGTCTTTTATCGTGAGCATATTTACTAATTTTTGGGTGCTCAATATACTTTTCAATTGCAGAGGATTCCGGATAATTTTCTGAGAAAGCATGGGGCCCAACTTTCGACTGCTGCCACCATCTCTGTTCCCGACGGCACCGTTTGGCGTCTAGGATTGAAAAAGGCCGACAACAAACTTTGGTTTGTCGATGGTTGGCAAGATTTTGTTCAACGCTACTCCATTGGCATTGGATACTTTCTAGTATTCACGTATGAAGGGAATTCGTGTTTCGTCATTCATATCTTTAACATGGGTAGTGCGGAGTTAAACTATCAATCCGCCATGAGGGGCCGTAACGAAGGGCCTTGCTATTCAAATTATCATCCTCTTTTTAACGAAATGGAAGATGCCGACTCCCTTGAGTTTCTGGGTTCGTCACCTTCAAACCTTACTTCTGGTGTATTGCAAGAGAAGGTTTTTCCTGGATCTGTGGATCATTTAACACCGGGGAAGAATCATACTCCATCATTGCATAATCTGTTTAACGGCGGGTCTAAACTCAACCGCGTTAACTGGGGAGATATTGATGGTACTCTTTCTTCAAAGGTTGCCATTCAATCAACCAGAGATATAGGTGTTCAGTTCAATGCTAGTGAGTTCAAAAAGTCTACAGAAGAAGTGAAAATCCGCTATTCTAACGAGGAAGGGCTTAATAGTAGTGATACTAAAAAATCTTCAAGAAAGAAGCGGAAATCAGATCTGAGTAAGTTCTTTTATCCAAGTTTTCTTTCTATTGTCTTATATAGCACCGGCAGTTTAGATTGAAGGTGTATCTGTAATGCTTTTTGAGCTGAATTGGAGTAGCAGTCGAGGTTTTGAAACTTCTATTAGATTTACAATTTGGTTTGGCAAGTTTTTTTATCAGTTTGGTTTTTTGGCTCTGTTTGGTTCTGTGCATTTTTTTTAAAACTTTGAATAGGCCTAAGTGCTTCATAGTTACGGTCTAGTAGTAATCTAAGAAAAATTAATTTTCTCATCAACATAATCTGTGGAACTGTAGGTGCACAGGAAGGCTCTTCAGCTGAAAATGAGGAGGACGCAGATTCGCGCTATCGATTCTATGAAAGTGCGTCTGCAAGAAAAAGAACCGTGACAGCAGAAGAAAGAGAAAGGGCAATAAATGAATCAAAAGCATTTGAACCAACTAATCCTTTCTGTCGAGTTGTGCTGCGACCCTCTTATTTATATAGGGGATGTATAATGGTGAGATATTGAATTAATTTTTTCATTATATTTATCTCTAGTCTTCTTCGACATGTCACGTTGCGTACTTAACTCAACCCGTGTTTCTGTTTTCCAGTATCTGCCTTCCTCCTTTGCAGAGAACAATTTGAACGAGGTTTCAGGATTCATTAAACTTCTGGGCCCAACCGGGAAAGAATTTCCTGTTCGCTGTCTTTATAGAGGTGGCCGAGCAAAGTTAAGCCAAGGATGGTATGAATTTACAGTAGACAACAATTTAGGGGAAGGCGACGTCTGTGTTTTTGAGCTGCTTAGAAGCCGAGAGGTAGTGCTGAAAGTTACTCTGTTTCATGTACGCGAGGATGAATCAGGGTTATTCGACCCTTCTACGCAGTTGAGCCAAAACGTGAGCCATGCAAAACTGCTGAACCCTCACTTGCAGCACCGTGTCAGCACCACCAAACCGGTTATAGCAGCGGGGAGAATTAACTCCTCCTGATAGACTATACAATTCTGTCTAGTAGTTTTTACTTCTTCTTGAGTGATCCTGGAATTCTCTTAATTATGGTAGTTTTGATATGGATATTTTGTTTTCGACTTGGATTGTAAATAGACTGTTCAATCTATTCAATCATAAACCGAGTTGAAACGCTTGTCCTAGCGCCTTTCTTTTTTGTTGTTGAATAGAAGGGATGTCTTGGTGCAGACATTTTGGGTTTAACTTTTTTTGGATCTGGTTGTAGTTTCATCTGCATGAATATAATGGACTCAGTTACTGTGTTTTTTTTAAGGTGATGGCTAATACTAGTGAGTTTTTATCTGGTTTCTTTTGAAGTTTATCTATTCATGATATTGTTTATTTGAAGAGATTTGTGGTATCTTTTTTTTAAAAGGAAAGAGGTTTTACATGTGTTCAATTATACAATATGGCATTTCTATTAAAATTTGGAAACTAGCTAGAGTTTTGGTTGCCTTAGTTAGGTTATCATCTATCAGAGTTGCTTGTCTCTTAATAAACTAACAAACCTTGTGTTGGGTTGGTTTTTAACGGGAGCCTCTCTAGTGGATGGCGGGATTGATTTTCTTGAATTAGTCGGTGACAAGGCTGGATACGCATCGATTGATAATCTCACCAAAATTTGTGCAGTGTAGGAATGAAAATTGTCAACAACTATTTTAGCATATAATTCAAAATCCACAAACTGCATGTCAAAAGTAAATCAAGAGATTTGCCTACTCGGGTATCGCAAACACGAGAGAGCTATTACTTAGTTCTAGTTAAAAGAAAAGCTCCATATTCATCCTTGATAGCAATTCTCAATTTGTTCAAAGACAAAAAGAAAGCATCAACATGTAAAGCATCAACATTACACTTAAATCTCTCTTCTTGATGACTTACTCCACTTGTTATAAACAATAAGTAGCAGCCAAGGTGATAAGAAGTTGACTCACACATTGAGAATATTTTGGTGGGTGATTTGTAACTATAAATATCTCTATAAGTGTTTGTCGAGTCTTGAGGCATGCTCTAATCCCGATGAGTTCTCGAAATCCACATCGGTGTCTGGTTTTTAGACCATCTTATATTTTGTAACCGAGTTAAAGATTGGTGTATTATAAATATTGTGAGCACTAATCGAGTCAAAGAATATGTTAACTATTTGAGAGTTCCACTTCTTACCATGCAGGCATAAAAGATCAGCCACACAAAACTAGTTTTGAGAATTAAGTTGATGAGGACTTGAAAGAAGAAAAGACTTGTTACTGGAATTGAGTATTGAGTGTTGTGGATGGAATAGGCGTCATGTTATGTTTTAGTCCCACATCGAATGGTTCAGTGATACATGGAAAAAATGATGGGTATAAGAATAGAAGATTATTGATGAAACAAATCAATGATTCTTCAGGCAGTAACGGGATGTGATGAGTGGTCAGAGTCTTGCATTTAATATGCAAGTTGGGTGTCTGCCCCAAGCCTGTTACGACAATTGGGCACTCTCATTTGATCAATCTGATCCCTATAAATATTATACTCACAGGGGTAAATCTAGTTGAGTTTTTTATTTTGCTTTTTGATATTTGGTTTTATTATTTAAACGAATTTCTTTTTGTTTTTTATTTTTATCAATAAATCTGTTTTATTAAATTTTATGTTAAGTTTTTATTTTTAATATGCAATATGTAATATATAATAACTGCAAAATGGTTTTGCACTTTTTTTTTAAATTATTAAAATAAATGGAAAATGAATTCACATGTACTCCGTTGTAATACACATTTATATGTTTATAAGCAAAAAATAACTAACTTAATTTTATTTATTACTCCCCGTTCCTCCTTTTTAATGGTCATCCTTTTCATTTTTACAACAATAATTTAATAATAATTATTATTTAAAGTGTAATTAATACTATTTTGTATTTTACAAGTGTAATTAAAAAGGAATAAAGAATTAAAAAGGAATAAAATAGTTCTTCTGTCTCATAATAAATATTTTATTTGTATCGTTTTAAAAAAAATAATTAGATGTGTTAATTTTATTAATAAAATTAATATTATTTATTAAAATATTTATATTTATTAAAATTTGAAAGTTAATAAATAGGAGTATAATAATGAAAAACAAATATAAATATTGTATTGGTATTCTAAAGAAATATTTATTTTGAAACGTATAAAAATTACAAATGTATAAAAATTACAAATGAGATGTTTATTATGAGACGGAGTAAGTATTAACTTAATTTGATGGATGTACGCAGTTTCAATCTCTTTTACTACTCTTTTTGTTTTACAATGAGTGACCAGTTTGATGGATGTACGTAGTTTCAATCTCTTTTACTATTACTTTCATTTTACAATGAGTGACCAGTCTATTATTTTACATATATTTAAAAAAATTAAAAAAAATATTGGAAAAAAAATATTTTTTTTATAATATCCTTAATTATGTATTGGAAATAATGAAAACCTAATTAATTAGAGAATAAAATTAAAAATATTATATTAAAAATTGAAATTAATCATTTATTTTAAGACACTAATGAATCATTTATTGTAAAACAAAAAAAAAATTAAAATAAAACACACTATTTCAGGTATTAAAATTTATTTTCACTTATATTTTACTTATGATTTTTACCACTAATTTGAATTTAAAGTACATTCTACAAATATTTGTTATCTCACCTTCCATTCTAATTCATAACCGAATACTAAAAATGACCGCTAATTTTGATGTGATTTCTAACAATTCCCATTAACAAACATGGTGATGTGGTGGGTTATGCTATGTTTGCTAACGATGAACCAATTGATTTTAAGGTAGGGAAAATGCTATTATTGACGAGCTGAGGTCTATTGAGAAAAGTAGAACCTGCGAGCTATCTAAATTACTAAAATATCATTGATGGGAAATTTGTGTACACACTCTGCATACTATTACAAGTAAGTTTTATTTTTTTGATACATTTAATTTTTAAAGTATCTAATTTATATATATGAGTTACATATATTAATAACTAAATGTATTAAAAAAATAAAAATCAATTATAATAATGTCCAAAGAATGTCTAAGCTAAAGAAAGATCTTGAAGCATAAAGAAAATTTGATGGCATATTGGTTGCTTAAAATGGAAGACATTACTATCAACAATGGTGGAGTCAAGATTCCATAACACACGGGTGTAAGAGTTTTTATTAATATATATATATATATATATATATATATATATATATATATATATATATATATATATATATATATATATATATATATATATATATATATATATATTAGAATAGAGGGAGTGTTATTTAAAATAAAAAATGTTTCAAATAGAATTTAATCCCATAAGAAAAATTAAATTACGGTTTTATTACTTCACCAATACATCAACTCTTCATAAATCACTATTACAAATAAGGGAATCGACAACACCTTTTTAGGTTTTTAACAGCGCTGCTAAAAAAAAGATAGCGCTTTTTTTCAATGTAAAAGCGCTTTCTTATATCCACTTTAGACAGCACTTTTAGAATAGACAGCGTTTTTTTTATATACTCATTTAGCAGCGCTTTTGCTTTAGACAACACTTTCCTTTAAAAGTGTTGTCTATTCCCCCACTTTAGACAGCGTTTATTTTTGAGTTTTTACAGCGCTGTCTATTGGTCACGATTTTTTTTATAATAAAATATCTATTTGACTTACAAAAGCGCTGTCCAATATATAAAATACATTTTAATAAGAATTTAAACCATATTTAAATCAGGTTTTCACCATATTATGCACGATATTTGGTAGCTTTATTTCAATAAAATATGCATATATAAAAATTACACATATATATAAATTGATGATATATACAACAACAACTACAAATTTTATGATACAAGTTAAAATTCTACAAGTTTAAAATCCTAAAATTCAAAATTGATGTTACATTTGTACATCTTACTATCTTCGAGAATTCTCATGAAACAACAACAACATGAATATCTTAGCTCTATCTTCTACACATGCACCTATAAACCTGGAAAAAAAAACCAAATGATCGAAATTCATAACATGATAATATTAACGTTGCACTTTATTCAAATTTAATTTATATTCAAAACTCAAAAGTTCTCATCAAAGGAAATAAGATAATATACCTTAGCTTATAAAATTCTCAACCCGATAATGAATTGACATCATTCCTCCATAAGTTCATCCAATTGATCTTTTTGAGTAATGTGCACAATTGAATTCCTCAAAGTACTACATATATAAAAATATAACATAGTATGTGATTTAGTTAAAACAACATGTCATTTTATGAGAAACACAAAATAGGAAAATAGTATGTAATTCCTAAGTTAGAAATTCATATCGTCTGGGCTACTTTAGTTTTTCACGTACCCTTTTAATACTTTCATATAACATTCAGCAGGGTACATCCATCTGATATAAGCTGGTCCGCACAACTGTGTCTCTTTCACAAGATGAACAACTAGATATACCATTATGTCAAAAAATGAGGGAGGAAAATACATTTCAAACTCACACAAAGTAATAACAATTTCTTTTTGCAATGTTGGTAAGATCTCAGGATCAATCACCTTACTACAAATTAACCTAAAGAAAAAACACAACTTAGTTATCGCGCTCCTTACTTTATTTGGCAAAATAGAACGTATAACTATTGATAGAAAATACTCCATTATAACATGGAAATCATGTGTCTTTAAACTCTTTAGCTTGAGGTATTTCATAGACACAAGTCTTCTAATATCTGAAGAGTATCCTTCTGGAACTTTAACTTCACTTAGAAACTTACACAATATCTTTTTCTCCTTTCTAGATAGAGTAAAAGCAGCAGGTGGTAGATATGTTCGACTTCCTTTCTTCACGGGTCCTAGTTCAGTTCGTATTCCCATCTTTAACATGTTCTCCCTTGCTTTAAGGCCATCCTTAGACTTTCCTTTAATATTGAGTAACGTATCAATAACACTTTCAAATACATTTTTTTCAATATGCATAACATTGAGAAAATGTCTCACATACAGAGACTTCCAATATGGGAATTCAAAAAAAATCAATCTCTTTTTCCACCCACCTTTGACAACCGTATGCGCAAAAGACTTGCCAAACTGAGTACACACATCTTTCACCTTTTCAAAAATTTGGTCACCTGACAATGCAGGTGGGGCTTTACGTTGTTTGGTGTCTCCATTGAATGCTTTTCTCCATGCACGACAGTGATGTTTAGAATGTAAGAATCTACGATGACCAAGAAACACATTCTTCGGACAAAGTTCCAAACGCGTCGTATCGGTTCCATCTTCACAAACAGGACATGCACGTTGACCTTTAATGCTATACCCAGATAGATTCCCGTATGTTGGAAAATCATTAATTGTGCCAAACAACATCACCCTCAAATTGAAACTTTGTTTCCTATATCCATCATAAACCTCCACCCCATTCTCCCAGAAAATCTTTAAATCTTCGATCAAAGGTGTCAAGTATATGTCTATGTCATTCCCTGGTTGTTTAGGCCCAAAAATTAACATAGATAACATCATGTACTTACGCTTCATACATAGTCATGGAGGTAGGTTATAAATCATAAGAATCACAGACCATGTGGTATGTGAGATACTTTGAAGACCATGCGGGTTCATTCCACCAGTAGATAAAGCCAAGCGAAGGTTTCTTGCTTCTTCTCCAAAATCAGGATAATCATTATCAATTTTAGACCTCTGTGGTGAATCTGCCGGATATCGATACTTTCCATCAATAAGTTTTTCATCTACATGCCAAGTCAGGTGTCTTGCATCGGTTTCACTACGAAACATGTGCCTAAATCTCTGAATTATAGGAAAATACCATAAGACTTTTACTGGGGACAATTTTTTCTTATATCGAGACAAACCGTATTTAGGGCACTCATTTAACGATACATATTCATTTCGAAACAAAACGCAATCGTATGGACAAACATGTATCTTATCATAGCTCATGCCAATAAAGCACAATATTTTTTTGGTCTCATAGGTTCGATTAGGAAGAACATTATCCTCCGAAAGCATATCTCTCATAAGGGCTAATAACTCTGAAACTTTTATCTGACCATCCATTGCCCGTCTTTAAGTTGTACAACTTTAATACCGTAGACAGTCTTGTGAATTTAGTGCAACCTTTATACAACAGTTTCTCTGCATCGTTTACCAATCTCTCAAACATTTTAGGACAATCCTGAAGATCTTCTTCAAGTGAATCTGCAATCTCTTCGACTTGATCAAAATCGTATGTATCTGTGTCCTTGTCGTCTGAAGCATAGGCCGTACTACTTTTCTCCCCCGGTTCAATGTTGTCATTACTTTTTTCACCGTGAAATATCCAACACGTATAACTTCTATCAATTCCATGCATTAGTAAATACGATTTCAATCCATCCGCGTCAACCCGACCCACATAACAACAATCCAAGCAAGGACACTTCATTCGACCGGGGTCTTTGGCGTGTTCAACAACAAATTTAACGAATTCCAATACCTCATTCTCGTACTCTTGTGACAATCGATCGACAAACATCCATTTTTTATCTATTTTTTTCTACTAATTCAAGTAAACAAAAACACCATAAACGGATTATTCCCTTTTTGTTTGAATTAAACGAATTATTTCTAGAAATTTATTTCTAGAGTTAATAACATGGACTAAAAATAAATATATCTATATAAAAATAATTGTGTTTTTTAATTGATCGATACAAATAGAATTTGAACTTGACTTACCAAAGAAAGAAAATGGGTTATTGGTGTTGACGGCGGATGACGCGGCTTTGATGTTCTTCGAATCGGTGATGGTCTTCGACTAACTACACCAATACAAAGGGATAATCAAAAACAAGTTGTATATAAGTTCAAAATACTAGTAAAAAAATACTAGTTCATGGAGAATATAAACATGATAAATAATTCAGAAACCAATTAAAATAATAAAAAAACCCATCATCATCTTTTTTATTCCAAAACAAAGAACCAAAAGAAAATACAATAATGCTAAATGCTAAAAGTGTTGCTGTTATATATCAAGCCCTACCAAGAACCCAAAAATTAAAATGCATACCTATAACTCAGTTATGCATATCTATAACTCAGTTTGGACATCAATAGGAGGATAATATCTTAGATGTTAGTATAATACATTATCAATAGGAGGATAACTCAGCTTGGACATCAATGGAGATACATACATTTTCAAGAAAGAACCTACCTTGAGAATCGGCCAGTGTGGGTGGAGGACAACCGAGAGAGACAGTGGAGAACAGAGGGGGGCTGGTACGACGACAACGTAAAAGCTATTCGTGAGAATAAGAGGGAAAGGGTTTTCGCTATCGTTCGTGAATCTGTGAAAGAGAAACAATATACACTGATTCTATTTTTTAATTTTCATTTATATGGCTTTAGACAACGCTTTCTAAAAGCGCTGGCTAATATGGACCTTTAGCAGCGCTTTTGAAAAGCGCTGGCTAATAGGGTCCTTTAGCAACGCTTTTCTGATTTTTTTAAAATTTTTTTATGACTTTAGACAGCGCTTTCTTAAAGCGCTGTCTAAAGTGGTCCTTTACCAGCGCTTTTGATAAAGCGCTTTCTAAAGCAATACTTTAGCAGCGCTGTCTAAGGTCACATTTTTAGCAGCGCTTTTACTTATTATTTTATATATTTTGTGTTTTTTTTTTAAATTTACTTATAACAACATTTTTGTATAAAAGCGCTGTCTAATGTGCGTTGTTAAAAATCATTTTTGACGTAGTGAATATTGCTATATATATATATATATATATATATATATATATATATATATATATATATATATATATATATATATATATATATATATATATATATATATATATATGAGTTG